CCCAAGAAAATCTGTTTAACTTAACCATTATGGTAAGTAGAAAACAGAATCATAACACCCCTTGTTACAGATAAAATATTGGGGCGATCTCAGCATTGGAAATAGCTTGAAGGCTTCTTATCTATTGGCTAGGACTTTGTCTTTCTACATCTTTGACCTCTAGCACATAGCATAGGGCCATATACATAGTAGTAAGTTTTTAAGGTCTGTTGAATTAAAATCAGAAATTTAGTCATCATGTACAATCTGGCATCACCCTACATTTCCAGGCTTATCTTACATTGCTTCCATTGCAGTTCACCATTCATGTCTCATACCAGTCCACCTCCATGCCTTTGATCATGCTATTACTTATGCCTTGAATGCCCTCTCTAAGCATGAGCTCTTTGATATCAACTATGTTTCAGACATAAATGCATACATGGTGCTAATATTTGACAATGAACAAAATGGACCAAATAGCAGATTAATGGAATGTGAAGAGTGGTGTTTTAAGGGTGTTTATTACTGCCTGCTCAACTTTTTAAACCTATGAGTATATATCTCTAGTAAACAAAACTAAGTATTTAAAGCTGTGTACTTCAAAAGGAAGATTCAATATGGATGAAAACTTGAGTGCCATTAAGTAATGAATTATCACTTCTAACTAATTCGTCAACCAAAATCTTCAGTATCATGGTCTGAAGTAATTAGCAAATTAATACTTAACTCACAATATCCAGGCAATCACAGAATTAAGGTATTTATCATCCTGATGATAACATGGATAAAATACAAGGCAAGGGCTAATGCAGTGATTCTTGAAATTTCAGTTCATGAACCTCTTTCCCAGTCTGGAGAAACTTAGAAATTCTTTTTTTCAGAATAATGTTTTTAAATGCATTAAAAATACATAGGATTACAAAGTATTGAAATGTAGTTATCAAAACAATAATAAAAAAAGTCATTTCCAAGAACATTTGTATATATTATGAATATATACCAGGTTCTCTTGTTCTATATTGCTATCTCAGAGTAATTCCTAATATTAAATAATGATAATTAAATTTACTGAGTGATCCCCTTATTTCTAAATCATTCTACCCCTAATTCATTTATAGCAATGCCTTAAAGACAAGTTTAATTAGTTAGAAGGACTGATCTCATGCTCTCTTATCTGCAATACTCTCTCTGGCATTCCTTCACACAAATGCTTTCCTTCCACTCCAAAGAAAAAGATCCTGGAAGATTTATTCTAGACCCTTTAAATTTAAAGTCTCTGATTAATTCTTTTCATCTGAACCTTCTTTACTCTTTCAAAATGGTAGTCAAATGATCATAATCAATTGATCTTAGAATTGGAAATTTCCTTGAGAAGCCATCCTGCCCCATTTCCAGGTAAAATATTTTCACCTACTTCAATAATAACTTTAGAATAGTCCTCTACTCAGAAGGTACTACCAAGCTGAAGTCCAAGCTTTTCATTTAGAGATGAAGAAAATTAAGTTCAGAGGGGTAAAGTTGCCCGGGATGCTCAAGATCATACAAGTTATAGGTGGAAAAGATGGAATTCATATTTAGATCCCATGACTCTGTGTTTAGATCTGTTTTCACTGTATAATATATAGCTACAAGGTCTCCAACTGACTACCTTGTTGTAATCCTACAACTTTCTGAAGGTTCTACAGAATGCTTCCCATTCTCTCAACTCCCTTTTTATATTCAAATGGCACGTGAGTACCACACACTCAAGCAATTTTTTTAAAAAGTATAATAGGAACTCTACTTTGAGGCAGAAGTTGGGCATGAAAATGTAGAGAAAACACAGAGTTTAGCTTGCACAGTTCTTTTCTTTTTTCTGTAGTTCTCCAAGTAAGATCATGATTCTTTACTGTTTCCCAGAGATAGTTGTATTAATATTTTACATAGTTTTATTAATATTTTACCTCCCCTAAAATTCTCTGGCCTTCTAAATTGTCCTATTAGCTCCTTTTATATCTGTTTTCTTGCAACTGGGCTATGGGATTTCCTTGCTACTTAGGTCTTGATGATTTCCCTTTTTCTTTCTTATTTTTTTTCCTCTTGAACAGGATCTGTCTCATGAGCCCTCATAAGAAACTTCCTCTTCTGATACAGACAACTGTCTTCTGAGCAATTTCTAACTTTAATGAGTTGCATGGGGGCAAGTGAGAGCTTAAATGACTTACCCGGGGTCAAAGAGCCAGCATACATCAGAGATGGATTTGAAGCCTGGTCTTCCTAACCCACAGATCAACTAACTCTCTATTACCATATGTTCCCTCAATGGAAGACAGATTTAATAGAAATTTTTTTTATTGTTTTACCTAGAGAGACATTAGCCTTAATTGCCCCTCTTCTGGAACATTTATTTCCTTTTATGCTTCACATCTATTTACACAAGTCACACCTTTTCTCCTCAAGCCATTAACTTACTCAGTAGGAACCACAATTCATTCAGATATGTTACAATAGAGGTCATTTCACTACCAAGAGAGTGTGGCTCAACACAAACGTCAGGTTATATAGATAAAGTCCCCCTCTATAATTTAACTATCCTATTTTGTAGGTGGAAATCCGTGGTACAGCACTTTCCCCCAAAATAGCATGGACAGAAGGTAACAAAGCCAAAAACTGAACATGGAAATTTCCTTGCAGATGAGTTTGTATTGACAATTGCCCCCTACAGACAGTATTAAGCTAATGTCATAGGTGGACAATGTTCATCTTTCATATGTGAAGAGCAATTGAATTGTGGTCCCTTGTAGGACTTGGATTCAGGAGACTATGTTCTGATAAATCATTTACTGTCTCCAGAACACTGCATATTGTACAGAGGATACAAATAAATAGAACATTAATTATTTTAAAAGAGAGATTTCCCATAATGCTCACTTTATTAGCAATTGAGCTGTTAAGTAATAAACTCAATCTGACCTTGTCAAAATCCTAACATTCAGGAGAATTTCATGAATTGGTTAGTTCCACCTCATTGCTATAGCTGACAACTGAGTTTTTACTTTTTTTTTTTCTCAAATGCTTAGATATGCAGTTTATTTCACATTCACACAGTGGCCTCATTTGTACCTGAATCACATCCTACCTAGTATTCAACAACAAAAGTGTTGCAAAACCTATTGAAGCATGTGCCATAGTTAAATTTAAAGTTTTCTCAATTTGGGCTGTGAACTACATAAGAACTCATTTTTACTTCCTAATGAATTAGGACTATCTTGTGAATTGCTGTTGTTTCTAACAGCTTCAAAAATGACTAAGCAAATTCATGGATGAAAGCTCCATAATGGGTCATTGAAGCAAATTAGAATCTTCTGGTGCTACGGCAAGGTGAACACCAAACCCTTCGAAACCTGCTTCTTAGTGTCACTGTAAGAAATAAAATCCTGGGATGGAGAGCTCATAGGTTTAACCCATAAGGACACCTTTTAAAACACTTTCTGAGAGCCAAGATGGAGAAGTAGAAGAAATATTACATCTGAGTTTTCCCAACATTCTACTCCAAACAATTTTAAAATAACACCTCTGACTGAATTCTGGAGAAGAGCCAAAAAAGGTAGGGGAGAGACATTTTTTTTCAGCCCAAGAAAACTTAGGAGGCCAGAAGAGAAGATCTGTGACAATGCGTTGGCGGCTGGCCTAGAGCCCATGTGGCTCCAACAACAGCTGTGGGCCTTGGAGGTTGTGACAGCAGAAGCATCAGCTTTGGGAGCTCTCAAGCCAGAGACAGTAAGGAGGATCAGGCAACTTGTAAGAAAGGAATTATAGCCTGTGCTAGCAGGGTGCAAGAAAAGGCACTGTTGGACAACTCCATTATCTATGCCCATTCCTCAGTCACAGTTCCAGGGCAGAGAGGAGCTTTTGAAGTCACAGGGAATCAAGAGACCTAAGGAGCAGAATAAATTTTGGCTGCAAGGGATCAAGGGCACTTCCTAGGTAAGGACCAGTGCATGGACCAAGAGAGCAGTGACCACACCTACCACCTTAGAAGCACTGAAAACTTCCAAACAGAACTATCTCTGAAAACAGTAGTGCAAAAAATCCTGAATCTTAAGACAATACTCCAATTGATAAATGGTCAAAGGATTTGAACAGGCAGTTTTCAGACAAAGAAATCAAAGCTATCTATAGTCATATGAAAATTTTTTATTTATAATGATTCAAATTATTATTAATTTATCATTGATTAGAAAAATGCAAATTAAAACCACTCTGAGGTACTACCTCATGCCTGTCAGATTGGCTAATATGTAGAAAAGGAAAATGTAAATGCTGGTGAGCATGTGGAAAAATACGGACACTAATGCACAGCTAGTAGTAAATTGGTCCAACCATTCTAGAAGGCAATTTGCAATTATGTCCAAAAAGCTATAAAATGGTGCATAGCCTTTGATCCAGCAATACCACTACTAGATCTGTGTTCCAAAGAAATCAAAGAAAAGGGAAATGGATTTGTTTGAGCAAAATTTTTATAGCAGCTCTGCTTTGGTGGTTGCAAAGAATTGGAAATTAAGGGGATTTCTATTAATTGGGGAATGGCTGGACAAGTTGTAGCATATAATTATGACAGAATATTATTGTGCTATAAGAAATGATGAGCAGGATGATTTCAGAACAACCTGGGAAGATTTGTATGAACTTATGCAAAGTGAAGGGAGCAGAACCAGGAGAACTTTGTACACCATAATAGTAATATTGTAAAGATGAACAACTGTGAAAGACTTAGCTACTTTGATTAAGATAATAATCCAAGACAATTCCAATGCACCCATGATGAAAAATACTATTCACTTCCAGAAAGAAAACTTATGGAGTCTCAGTGCACATGTTTTTCACTTTATTTTCTGGCTTTTTTTTTTGCAACATAGCGAATATAGAAATATGTTTTGCTTGACAAAAAAGTAGAAAAGAAAAAAAAAGAAACACTTTCTAATATACCTAAATATATTCTAATATATCTAAATATAGGGGTTTTTGTATCTTTTTAGAAACTAGAAACAAGAACAAACCAGAGCTTGTTCCTGTGACAGTAGACAAAGTCTTTTTGGATGACCTTGGTCCAAGAAGTATTTTCTGACCTGATGGCACTCCAGAGAACTTTGGATGGAACGTGTAACAAAGTTATTGGGTAATTTTTTTTAAAGTTACATTACAGTTACTTCTTGGTCATGTGAACAATAAGATGATGAACTAGACATTTTCTCTGATCCTCACAACCTCTCAAACCTTTCCAAAATAGGAATTATGCCCCAAAGATAAAACAATTTTAGCTGTTTCCACAGTCTAGGACACCAAGAACCCAAACAAGGTAAAAAACCTGATGAACATAGCAGAGAAGGCTAATCCCACCACCTATTGTATTTACTGAGGACTCCCTTGCATACCACCCAGCACTATGATGGCAGTACTACCCAAGCAGACCCATAAGATTACAACAGAAATCAACCTCTCCCCACACACAAACACCCATATTGCCAAGGAAAACCAGAAGGTGGAAGCTTGCTACCACTGTATATCAGCACGCAGCCTGCAGCAGGGCTCAGTCATAGAACTGAGGAATAGAGAGAATTACGGGAAGACACATACATGGGTGCATGTGTGGGTGTCCATACATCACCAAGTATGAGGGAAAGAGCCTAGCATCCATCTGGGGTCAGTTCTGTTCTCCTAGAAGCCACTCATGACAGACACTGAGGTTCATGAAATGTGAAGTGCCAAACATGAGGAGAAGTTGAATAAGATTTGAGGGCCAGCCCCCAGGGAAATCACTATTGAAAGGGAAGGAGTAAAAAAGTGAGAAATAGAAGAAATTAAGGGAAGGGATCCCTAAAAGGACCAAAGATCTCAAGAGAAAGAAATTCATTTAAAGAGCTTGACTGTAAGCAGATAAACCAACAGCAAAATATTAATAATAGAATGGAAAATGACCTCCAGATAAGCTAAAAGAGTCCAGACAGCTTTGGATAAATATTATAAGACAAGGGAGAATGAATCAATGCCTGATGAGGCAGATAAACCTATGGATTTCTAAGAGAATATAAAACTAAAATAGGATGTTCCTTAATGGTTTAAAAGAGAAAGAAATACGAAAATAGAATTTTTGACCTGCACAGTAGAAACATTGAGCAAAATCAGAAAACTTGAATCTGCAGTGTCAAACGTTCCTCGAAAAACAAAAGAGAGAATAACTGTTCAGCTACATTACAATCCTTAGGGTTTCAATATTATATAATATTTTCTTGGGACCTCCAGGACCAAGAGTTCAATTAACATTTACTAGGCATCTTCTATATCATATGCAAGACACTGAGCTAATTCCCAGGGCTACAAAGTTGTAAAGGTCATATGACATGGCCTCAAGTTGTTAGCAACCTAGTAAACATTTACTTGACAGTGGACACTATGAATTTCTTGGAAAATGATCCTGTTAGAATCAAGAAGTTTTCTGCTCTAAATCTTTCTTGTCTTAAAACCTACGTCTCTTGTATACAACAAAGATGATCACTATCAAATATGTTCTATTAGTACTTTATTTCTCATTTCTCTTTTCCCTGTCCTCCTACCCCAACTTCCAATACATGCTCACACACATGAATACACAGGGACTTTTCTAACTTCAGTAGTTATTGCCCATGATCATAATGCGGAATGGCAATTTTTGAATTACAAAGATCCATAAAATCAAATGGAGCTGACCAGCAATGCTGACAAGCTAGCACAAGCTTTAAAATGTCTGCTTCAGGTTTAACCAGCATAAAATTCAGGGCTTTTATGCAGTTCTTATAAAATGGATAAGCTAGAAATATAATTGTAATATTAAAAGAACTATTAAAATAGTTCTAAAAATGATTTTCAAAAGCTCTACTGTAAAGTGCCATTTCCCCCCCCCCACCCATCCCAGTCTTGGATTTGAGATCAATGGAAAGAGTGTAGCCCTGGGATTTATAAAACCTGTTTTCAACTCCCAGGTTTGCCACTTGGTAGCTAAATGACATTGAAGAAGTCATCTTGCCTTTATTATCTTATTTTTCTTAAAGGATATTTTATCACTGAGTATCTCAATTCCATTCAATTAGATAATGATTTATTAAGTGCCAACTACATGTAGGACACTCTACTAGGAGTGAAGATATTAAAAAAAAACAGTCTTGGGGCAGCTAAGTGGTGCAGTGCACAGAGCACCAGCCCTAAAATCAGGAGGACCTGAGTTCAAATCCAGCCTCAGACTAAACACTTGCCATTTACTAGCTGCATGACCTTCAGCAAGTCACTTAACCCCAATTGCCTTAAAAAAAAAACCAGTCCTCAAACTCATTTCATTCCACTGGGTGGGGAGGACTTGATATACTATGTACAAAATACATTCAAAGTATTTTAGGTGCTAAGAATGCTAAGATCTTAAGAGCTTGTTGAATATACCAAAAAGGCAGCATTGAACATTGAGCCTGAAGATATCAGTCTCAATCAGCTAACTAGCTAACCAAATGTTAAATTTATTTATTTATTTATTTATTTATTTATTTATTTATTTATTTGCCTTTTACCTATTGTGTGCCCATCCTTCACTGTGGTGAAAAAGAAATATTTGTATACATACATATATGTATATAATACATACATACATATGTATAAAAGTGTATGTGTATGTATGTATGTTTTGTGTATGTGTGCATGTATAAATATATGCATGTATAGTATTTGCTCCTAAGAAGCTAGGGAAGATAAGAACAATACACATGAAACAACAATGAATGATTCTAAGCATTTCATCATAACCAGTAAAATGTGGGATCCCGACAATTAATATTATAGAAATTCAGAGGAAAAGGACATGACAGTAATAGTAGCTCATAAATAGCTAACATTTACATAGCACTTATATGCCAGCCAGGCATTGTGCTAAGCACTTTATACCTATTATTTCATCTGATCCTTATTCTATTATTATTACCATTTTACAGATGAGGAAATTGAGGTAGACAGAGAATAAGTGACTTGCCCAGGATCACACAGCTAGTAAGGGTCTGAGGCTAGGTTTGAACTCAGGTTTTCAGAGAAGTGAAGAGATTCTATGGATAATGAGGGTTGTGAGTGGAAGGATCTGGATAGGTACAAAAGATCCAAATAGTTTGAAAGGAAGACATTCCAATATGACCTATGACCTTATGATGTACTAATGGGACAACGAGGACATCAGACCCTGATTACAGGTGAAAGGTACAGAATTAAACAGTAGAGGGAAATGAGGTCATAAGGAAAAATTGGGTCAGATTACAGAGGCCCTTGGACATGTTTTAATGAACGAATTGTGTTAAAAGGACAGCAAATATCTAGGCTAAGGTTATCCTGAAGTCCTGCAAATGTCTTCATAGACAGAGGATCAAATTAGGAGATATAATCTAAAAACTTTCATAGCAGTTATTTTCCTCCAAAATCCCCAAAGAAAAAAGCACCCCTCAATAGAACAGCTTTTGTAGAAAATTAAAAGGTACAGTGTGAAACTACCAGTAACATTTACAAATGTAAAGGGAGACATCACTTAGTCCACCATTCACATTTTAAAAGCAGCCAGTGTGAGCTTCTAAGCACAGACTTTTGTCTATTAAAAATGGATGAAAAGGGGGATGGGGAAGTTTGGAGGACCTCAGTAGATCTCCCAATTTAAACAGACTAAACTAACTGAAAACTTGTTGGCTTATACATAGGCATCCCAACTGAAAATAGAAAAGTTCCATTGATGTTAACCAGATTTTCAACTCCTATTGGATTGCTATGTAAATATATGAAGCAGTTCTATAACTCTGCATGTCTGCAAAGACATTTTTGGCAAACAAAAGTCTTTCCATTTTTTAATCCACACTATGGTTTCCTTTTCATTCTTGCATTAATTCTATCAAGATATGGAGATAGTAAATCTGATAAACATCTCGTATTTATTTTTGTCCCTGGCTTCCTAATTTCCTCTATTTCAACTTCTTGTCTCTGATCTGTTCTTATATGAATGGCCATGCAATAATTTTGGGGACTGAGGACCATAAGTTTCAAGGCGTAAAATTCTGACAGTTCTAGGCATCAACAAACCATAACTAGACGTTTTAAAGTTACATAATCAATCATCAAATGGATCAATGCACTCATTTTTACTTTTCTTAAGGTAGCAACCACTGGGAGGTATTCTAGAATGTTGAAATATTTCAAAGCTTAATCTTTACCTGTGACTAGAAATAAGGCTATTATAGTAAAATGCTGCTCATTAAATTAGGAACCAAAGCAGTTTCTTTCTCTCACTAAAGAATTATTTATTACAAATATTAGAAACAGCTGTAAATGGAAATATGTCAGGAGCTCTTTTACAAAATTATTTCTTCATATCAATGATGCTGGTCACCATGATAACAGAACAAAAACTGCAAAACTATTAAGTTGATCAGAATTCTAATTCTCATATCCAATGATATGAGTTAACTGTGAGTTAACAACAAAAATAAAGCAATGTACAACATCAAATTATGTACTGAAGAACTAAAGGAATCCAATATATTGTATATTTTGTGCCTTTGGAAACCAGAAGTATGAAACAATTGTCTAAGTCCTGGAGAATTTAAACTAATTAGAATGTTTTGGAGGAAACTTCAAATTTAATGTATTCCTTGGTCGTTTTAAGTTATAGGCATTTCTGAGGATTAGAGACTAATTTCAATAATCACTTTGTACTTAAAACAAAACAAAACAAAAACAAAAACAAAACTTCATGTATTCATCCTAAACTAGGAGACAGATTTAAAATTTGTGATTTGTACAGATTGCTAAAGACTAGAACACTTTAAGAAAAAAAGAATCACAAATTTTAAAAATTGACATTTGCAATTTATTTAGGACTATTTACCCCCACACACAAAAGGCATTGTTTCCTATTCTGAAGATATAAAAGCACAATTTTATATCATCAAAGATATAAATAGCTCTACCTTAATTTTAATCAGTTAATCTTGGTATAATATCATATGCTCAAAGGTACCTAATTTGTAGATATGTTCTCTAAGCAACACGTACCACGAGTGGGGAAAAATAACCACTTAACACATGTCTTTAAGCGAAGTCTGATATTTGTTAATGCCTGAAATCTCA